TACATAGCAGACACCCAACAACTCGAGCAAATGGCTCCATCAGTGTGGGGTATCATGTTTTGATTAACCTGTTCCACTGTTCTTAAGTACCGGGCACGGTTACCGGCCTTGGGTGCGAGTTTCATTTATTGGGAGATTGCTAATTCCCCAGATACGACGATATAAAGATGTACACTGCATTGGAAACACTTAACCAGTGACGGACAGATCAACTTCCCATGACAAAGGTACCTTCGTAAACAAAACAAAGTTTGTCAACAGAGCCCATTGGCCGCACCGTGTCAAACTCATATCCAGCAAAAGTACATGGAGTGAAGATTCACAACAAGTACCATTTCAGATGTGCTTTTCACTCCGTTTTATCACTGCTTTAATCCGGCTGAACAATCCAGCATAAAAGCTCAATTGAAAACATTGCCAAATAGGTCGGAAGAACACGAACATATTATATGGTTTAACGTGTGATAAGAGTGTCCAATAGCCAAAAGGCACGTTCTTGTTGGACGGATATCGTTTGTTAGTCAAAGTACACGAAATTACATATTCCAGCGGCACACATACGGGAGCGAATTCGTTCCAGGTACATGAACACGTGACTGCATAAAATCAACCAGTGAGCGTATGCACATATACGACCATGCGAAATTCTGACAGATTCGATTGTGCAAGCAGACATTTCCGAGTTACGTGATAAGGACCCTCGATCAATAAATAGATGTGTTACCACCAACTTCTTTCCGTTTAGGACACTATTTAGACCTGGTTATTGGAAAAGCTCGTGCAAGTCCCTGAAGGGAACCGAACAAGCATGGGGCAGCTGAAACGTGTCTTCTGTCAAATATTACTGTATTTTGAAAGATGATTAGAATAGTAGGAATTACACTGCAACTATAAACAGGGCTGTAGTGATTAGTATCGATATCATTTGTAATACACACCTCAGAGTGATATACATAAAAAAACAGTTTACCTCAGAGTCAGGATGACTTACTGTTACATTACAGAAACCCACTACCTAAGCCCCGGGACTTGTATTAGTGACAGACAAAAGGTCTCAACAGCAAGGTAGCCTAGCACTCCTCGAAGTCGTGAACAGAACCAACACCTTGCCATAAACCATTTATGGGAAAAGTACTCGCGGTACTGTTGTGCAGAGTTACATGTTGCAGAAGGTATAAATGTGTCACAGCATTCACAGTCCCTATCACATTCATCATAAACATGCATGATGGTAATATTTTGTCGAGGAAGTTGTTTGTTACATGCGACTAACCCGGATTAACGTTCCAAAGATTGGTAACACGCCGACACACTTCAGTTTTCCTCTCAATCGCCCTCAAATCCAAATTCCGTGTGTGTCCTCCTCGCTATCTTCGCCATACGAAGCTAACTGCGCTCCGCCATCAGTAGAAGAAGTCTAAGATATCATCAACCATATCAAGCCACAGAGATCTCCCGGTGAGGACGGGATACCTGCCGAAATCTACGCAAAATGTTTTGCAGTCATTTAAAACCCTCTCCATAGTTTACTGTGTACAATCCTGGAAACCAAAGTTTGCCAAACTAACTGGACCACATCGATTTTACTACCTTTCCTAAAAAGGGTGACAAATCAATGTGCAAAAACTACAGCTTTATCAGTTTACTTGATGTGGCGGGCAAGGATTTGCACAACTTTTGCTGAACCGCTTTGCTGCAACAAGGTACGCGTGCACTCGTTCTAACCAGAAGGGATTCCGCCCCAGTTTGGGCTGCGTTGACCAAATATTCGCTGTGAAGACTCTTGGAATATCACCATCAGTTTCCCTTTGGCAGAGAAATGAAATCAGCCTTGAGACAAAAATCCGAGTTTTCTCCGCAGTAGTCCTTTGTGTTTTGCTATTCGGCTGTGAAACTTGGCCACTTAGAGTCGACACTGTCGACGGTTAGAAATCTTCGATCACTGGGAGTACGATGAAAGGATCAGCTCTCAAATGAAGCGGTCAGGAATTGGTGGCGATTACGATAATTTCGTTACATATTTCGTAAGTCTGATAACGATCTGACCAAACCTGACAGCCTCATCTCCCTGCCCGAACTGGAGCTGTCGACACGGTGAAAAACTGGAAACCTGGCTTGACACGATGCGAAAGGAAACAGAAAACCTTGGTCGCCACTCCGTCTACGGCATTCGCCAATGGAAATTAAGCTGGATCACAATCTGCGCTGATCTTGCCACAGACCGCCGAGGATTGGCAGTAGCAATTCGGGCTATCCATGAAGCTGGCTTATCCTCTCCCAGGAGTCAACCACCGTAAGGTAAAAGCACAGTAAGTAAGTAATATGTTGTCCCAGATCTGTTATGATATACTAGATTGACCGCAATCATCAATGGATGAGATTACAGGTAAAGTACCTCGTGAGCAACCAGTTAATTTAATTGCCCGTGGTCACGGAATCCGTACCGTTATCTAAGAAAAAGTAAATCGGATTTTATGTTCCATGCGATAAAAATTTCTATATTTTGTTCAATAAGTTCTAATTAAAGTATATGTCGGTTACGCCCTTCATCAGGCACTGAAACGATATATTTTGGCAAAAGGTGATAGTTTGCTTTTTTTCTAAATGTAGGCAGATATAATTGCATCAGAAATTCATTTCATTTTTGTCATAAAATTCAATGTTTTATACCTTCGAATGCACCTCATTTGTTCTAGTCATTTAGTGAAATTTCCCGTAAATTCTAATTTTTGTCATTCTCGTTGGACTTTAGTGACAGTAACAGCAGCACCGGCTGCAGAGGCAGCAGTCCGGTTGATTCGAATTTCTTCCATTAGTGATATTGTTCAGTGCATGGTGTGTGAAAACGGTTATCGCAATGATTTATAGCAAGATGACAGCTGTCGCACTTACTGTCCTTAGTCGCAGCGCGTGTACATTTCCATGGTTGCTCCATACATGTGAGCAAGCACATAATCTGCCCAAATAGGCTGATAGCCCCTTTTTAGGTTTCAATGATTAGTCCGTTGTGTGTTGTTTTGAAATTACAGTTCATCCCGGATCGGTCACGAGTCCTTCAGTTGCACTGGTTGAGGCCCATGAACTCATCAGTGCTAATTGTTTCTTTGATGTTGAAAACTGCACTAGTGATGAGCACAGACGTTCGTACATATACCGCGATAACGGGAATTGAGCATCACCCCTTATTCCTTTCCTATCAGAGGCTCAATTACTTCCTTCAAGAGATCTCACCGTCTCTTGTTCCCTTTCTTTAAGCATTTGGATCCTAGGCTGTATACGTGTAATTTTTTCATCATTCAACACCAGTCGTCCTTCTGTCTGGTCCTGCTTTTTCGGATCGCGACTTTTAATTTCTCTGACTGAGACTCTGCATCCCATTTTTAAATCACTACTGTTGCATCCTACATCGTTCTATCAGCAGTTCACATTGTTCTGTGTTTGACCTTCTTCTGCGGCACAAATGAAAACTGCATGCAATCAGACTCCATCACCAAAATCACCAATCCGTTGCAATTCACGTTAATGACTGGTCAGCGCACTCAGCAAAAGTCACAACCGTACACAGTAAGGCTGGAAGCACTTTCCGTTGTAAACATCCGTTGTAAACATCACAATAGGTCACCTTTCCTACCTGTGTCTCTCATGAAAGGAAGCAGCACACCTACACCGTTAATAGTTTATTACTATTTGGTTCCTCACTTTTGTGGGATTTATTTCCATGGTCCCGGCTAGACGCGTGACGTTGAATTCTCACACTCCATCTGGCATCTCAACGGTTCTTCCTTACCACACATTATGCCGGTCAGAGTGACTGTTTAAGTCATTACCATCGCTAAGCGTGGTGATTTGTGTTATCTTACCGATCACTACCTCATCTCCATCCTCTCTTCGCTCTCTAGGATCATGGAACTAGTGATCATGAATCAACTNAACTTATCTGTCACTTGGATCACTGCGTACGTCTCAAGAAATTCTTTCATTCGCTCCTGACTACCATGATGAGTTGCATCCAGTCTCCCTCGATATCAATACGGCATTCTACCAGGTTCGGTAATATCGGGTTTCAATAGAAACTTCATTAGTTGGGACTTTCCCCGCGTTACATCACTTGGATACGGAGTCACCTTTGTGATCATTCAACCTCGGTTTTTGTTCATGGAGTCATTTCAAGATCCATTCCAGTATATCCCGGAGTCTTTAAAGGTTTCGCATTACCTGAAAGCCCCTTACCTCTCTTCAACCACCGGTATTTATCCCGGAATGTTAGCCCCATCCAGCTTTTCCCGATCAGGCCAAATAATAACACCTCACGTGCCTTCCCTGTCAACATTGCTTGTGATTCTCTTTACAAAGCCAAAATAATTCTCATCTCTGGGACAGGGCTTCATCTTTGTTTTGAACACTCTGGGACCGTGGTCAGCGTAAAACCATTTGAAACACTAGGTTCCCTTTATTAATCGAATCGAAACCATTTGCCCTATCGCTTAACCAGTCCTGTCACAATCACAATTCAGCCACTTTTCCATCGCCGTGTGATCGCTTCTTTAGATCCTTTCTATCGATAGTATCACGGGTTTTACATTGAGAAGCTTGCTGATCTGGTCCCACTTCCAGCCTCATCGATTTGCGAGACTCGGTCAAATGTGTTAAATCGCACTCACCGGGTAACTGTAAACACTTGTCGAGCTGGGAAATACACATCCTCTTTTTCCTAAGAACCGCGGAGTTTTGGAACACTTCTCTACTCTGTAATTGATCTCACTAATAACCTTTCTATGTTCAAGTGCAGAAATTATAACGAGTTATGTTTTGGATGAATATTTCGACATCTCCATTGCAAATTAGTTTATCCGATTTACCCCTTTACAACAGTGCGTCATGCTTGTTCTGTGATAGAAAAACGGACTTTTGTCTCATTCGGAAAAAGGTCCAAAAATCATGGACCAACCAAGTTCTCTCTGATTACAGTGTAGGTTGTGTGTAAACCGGGTGATGTGCTACTAGCACAATTTGGCTACGAGAAATTCCGTTTTTGGATGACAGTTCAACAAGCCTCCGCACACGAATTTTGAGTCGTTCGAGCCAACATTCATGTGTGGGTGTTGATCATGACTAACCGAACAGACTGGACTCACTTGATGGTTTAGAATAATTTCCTCGTTCCATTCCGGATTCGCAGTCTCATACTTTTTCGATGATTTCATCTATAAAATTTGATGCATAGGATGAAAGAATTTGATCAGAATTCAGAAGATCATGATTCGTTTTTATATGCGAGAAAGAAAAAAGAGGTGGATCATTGTTAGATTCATGACGACCTTACATTGATGATTTCCATGCAACATGGATTTATTACTCTTTTCTTGGCAAAAACATCAGTACTTGTGAGGGTGTTCATCAGGTATCAATGCATTACTCAATGTGATGAACACTGGGAAAGGAGAACATGATAACTGTAAGAATAAGGGAAACCCAAGAGGATTTGAGAAACATGCCCAGGGAAGTTTTAATGAACTAACCGTGACGTGGGCCCGGTGACAATGAGGCCAGTCACCACAAAAGCGAATTGTATCTGGCGAGATTCGGAGCCTGAGCTCCACAAATAACCGCTGAATGGTAACAGTGATCATTATAAGCTAAAATTATTGCAAAGAACTGGAGAAACGTGTTTGAGAATGGGCTTTTGAGTTCTTCGGGGTCCAGTGTAAAGAAAGGTTCTTTAAACGCACAATGTCTACTTCGAGCGAGGCGATCCGAATAGGACAGAAGCCTCCGAGAAACTGGTGACATTTGATATTCTGCCCTCATATCTCTAGTCGACGTAAATTCCCTGCGACATTCATCACAATATAACCATGTGTATGATTGACACCTACTTACAAAAATCTTGGTAACTAGTGAAAAATGAATGTGATCGATCTGGCTTATAAACACGAGCACATAAATAAATAAATAAAAGGCGAGGTATAAGATCATAGTTTTCAATCAGTACAAAAATCGTTTGAGTCTGTGTTTGGGGTAGAAGGAGGAGGAGAAGGAAGTTTGCCAGGAATGTTTGCCTCAACAAACATCATGATATAGAGTGTGATCTATCAGCCAGTGGATTAATCAACAAAAACGAGCCTATCCCTTATTGTTTTTTTTTCTTTCACTGGGCGCACATTCGGACAAGAGAATGCCACAATTTAATGGATAATTTTCATTGTTATAGACATCGTTCCATGTGTCAAAGTTGAGGTGTAGCGCCGTGGTTCGTTTTGCAAACAGCCTTTTTGTGGTTGCGAGATACGAGTGCGTCACTTTCGCACAATATTCACTGGTTAAAATATGCTCTAGAAGTGTTATTAGATTTGGATGATGGATTTCTATCTGATTTTCACAGCCAGATACCTTTTGAGGCGACTGTTTGATCAGATTCTTCTAAGGCTTCCAATGCATAATCCGTGAATTGAAACTCACAGGAGCTGATACAGTGGGCGGTTATAAACACAAATTCAAAAGAACACCACAGACGAAAGCAAGAAGCCATTGGAACACTACAACTGTTGGTAGCACAGACACAACTACACACCTTGGTTCCGGCAAACGAGAATTCCACATACGGATCACAATATTCTTTGTCATCTTTGGACGATGAAACCACGTTCTTGATTTTGCCCAATGTGTCGGCATCCACTGTAAACGAGAGACGAAGTTCATATATAATAAAATATACACACACGGACGAATAATAGACAAGAAATTGGTCGAAGTTGCTCTATTTGGCGTTCTTTGTGTGTCAGCTAGGACGCAGATCTGCACATAACTGGAGCAGAAGCAGGCATAGGTGGTTTGGGCCAGTTTAACCTGGTAACATACGGCAAGCTGCCTCGGCAGCCACAGTACAACACTCCCTCTCTGAATCTTAAGTTTACCAATTATTCTAAATTGGTGATTTCCACTGTACACTTCGAGAGATGAATAAGCTGACAAAATATTGAAAATCGGTTTTCGTAGCTCGGGTGAACTGAATTCCATTTTGCCTGTTCGCCGAGCTTGGCAATTTGTTTGCAAACGTTTCATCACCAGCCGAGGTGACATCATCAGTGCTTGTG